ATAAAAATGCTCTTGAAGGCTGTACGATACAGAAAGGGTCACTAAGCCTTTCTTCTACCACAGCACTGGGTGGATTTGAACTGCTAACCTTTAGATTAGGATTTAAGTGCAAACTGCTAACACCACTCAGGGCTCTCTAGCCTACTAAATAGCCATTAAAAAACCCCAACATTTTATTGGGGGCTCTTACTGCTCATATCACAAGCCATACATTCATCCATTTTGTCAGGCACATTTGTACTTATGTTGCCATCATCATTTTCTAAACATTTTCTATTTGTGTCCTTGGTATCAGCTTATTTTTTCCTTCCCTCCCTCATGAGCCCTTGATAATTTATTTAAAAAAAATATTTTTTCATGTCTTACACTAACTGCTGTCTCCCTTCACCCACTTTTCTGTTGTTCGTCCGGGGGCGTGGGCTATGTCGATCATTGTGATCAGTTCCCCCTTTCTACCTCCACCCTCCTGGTATCACTACTCTCATTATTGGTCCTCAGGGGTTTATCTGTCCTAGATTCCCTGTGTTGCAAGCTCTTATCTGCTGTACCGTGTACATGCTCTGGTGCAGCAGGATTTGGAAGGTGGAATTGGGATCATGATGGGGAAGGGGGAAGCATTAAAGTAGAGGAAAGTTGTATGGTTCATTGGTGCTATCCTGCATCCTGACTGTAAACAGCCATCTTTTAACCATCATTTCCAACCCATTGCTCCCCTCCCTTCCCCTCTCCCAGTGCCTGACAGAGCTCCCTGATGTATTGTTTGAATCTCAGATCCTACTCCCTTCAGCCCACTGAATGCTGGATCGGCTTCAATCCATTCAAACGTCCAAGTTACAAAATGAAAGGATGATTTGCTTGCCTGTCCTATAGGACCATATATTTCACCAAAGTCCAGTGTTTACTAACTCTGCTATCCCTGTAGCAAATGTTCACCGATGCCTAGTGTCCAGACACTGTTGTGGCTGGTTTAGTGATTTAAACCCTGCACAGGGGATTGGGAATCAAATCTTGAGCAATGTATGTTTCAATATTCACATTTGCCACAACCCCCCTCCCCCCCTGCAGGGGAATGAACAACAGAAACCATGGGGTGGGGGGGAGACAGCAGTGGATGTAGATATGAAAATAATAATTTACCATTTATCCAGGGGGAGGGAGGGGGGTTGGGGGAAAAAAGAGGAGCTGATACCAAGGCTTGAAATAGAAAATAATTAGAAAATAAGGATGGCAACAGATGTACAAATATGCTTGATACAATTGATGTATGGAATGTTCTAAGAGCTGTAAGAGCTCCCAATAAAATTATTCTAAAAAAAAGGCTTAGAGAATGGAAGGGGGTGGGGCTGACACATAAGCAGGGGACCCCGATGGCTAGTTGGCAGAGGAAGCAAAAGCACTATGTTCACACACACGCACACCAGTCTCACCTGTGAGACGGAGCAGCAGCAGCAGCAGCAGCAGCAATCTCACCTGACAAAATCAGGGCTGTGCACTGATCACTTCATAGATGCCACAAAACCCAGGGAATTATAAAAAGGCTGATCTGTGTTTTAAACGTTTCCACTGCAGCCATATAGAGGTATCTTCAGAGTCTAACCTCTTGAGCTAGCTCTGGGTTTTCCCTTTGCATGTGGGTCTGATGGGAGCCTCCCATCCCTTCCCGTTTATAAGCTAACCCTACAATGCCTTCTCAACATCTCCCAGGTTGGCATTCTTAAAAAAGTGGTATGAATGCGTGTAAAGTCACACAAGTACCGAATCGGTCTGTGGCTTTTCAAGTGGTTTTCTCCTTCGTTCTTTACGGTTGTCCTGTCCATTCCTACATTAACTTTTTTTTTTTTAAACAATGTGCTTCTATTGAGTATTTCTAGAGAATTCTCCATAGTTTCTATGAACATCTCTTACTTTGGTATTCCTATTTCATTGGTTTGCACACTATTCAATTGATGTGTGGAAGCTTATTAATAGGTAATGAGGAGCCCTGGTGCCATACTGGTTATGCTTTGGGCTGCTGACCACAAGGTCAGCGGTTTGAAACCCCCAGCTGCTCCACAGGGAACGAGGAGGCGCTGTACTCTCATAAAGAGTTACAGTCTCGGAACCCCACAGGGGCAGTTCTACCCTGTCCTAGCGGGTGGTCATGAGTCAGGTCCACTGGCTGGCTATGAGCTGAGTTTGAGTAACAAGTACTGTTGGCATAAATGGTTTGAAGAATACAAGGGACTCAGGAGTGGGGTGAGGATATGTCTGTGCGCCCCCGGCAGTGCACCTGGCAAGCACATCAGTCTGTGGATGCAAGGAACTGGCGCGGCTGTATCTGAATGACCCAGTTGTGTGGAGAATTTCTGCTGTAGTCACACGGCCCACTGAAAGAAGCCCAAGGTTATTGTCGCTGGAAGGCATGGGGGCCACAGTGGGTGGCAGTCCCTGCTCTCTCGGCCCTTCCAGACTCCCAGAGCATCTCTCTGGGCATCCTCACCTACCCTAGACGTCCTGGGACCTGAAAGGTACATATGATAGGTGGATGGTAGGTTGGAGGGAAAGAGATTTCTAGGCAAATACTGTGTGTCAAAGCCAAAGAGAAGCAGCAGGTTGCCCACACTTGAATGCCTGGGCATGCAGTGGGCAAACAAGTGCTGGCTTTGTTTTCAATTTATTGGGGAGGGAGGGGTCAGCGACAGTTAAGATATTGTTAAAAGCCCACCCTGGTGACATCTGTGATGGGTGAGCAGAATCCTCCTGGTTCGTGGAGAAGCAGGCAAGGATGGGTCATTTCTGACCCCGTGGTTAGCAGGTTGACACGTAACCCACTAGGCCACCAGGGATCCTACTTATGACATGAAGCAAATAGAAATACTTACAAAACTGAGAGTAAAGATTATGTGCTCGCCTCCTTCAGGACCATGAATTTCACCCAGGTCCGGTGTTTACTCATTTTCTATCCATGTATAGCAAGCATCCAAGGATGCTTAAACTATCCGGGCCTGCTATGGCTGGTGGAGTGATTTAGGCCGAGCATCCGGAACTCCAAGCACCTGGCCTGGGCCAGGAGCAGCACCCATCACTGGAACATGCCCCTTAGCTTCCCAGCCCTTGAAGAGCCCTCAACACGAAGTGGTTCCTGCCCAGGACACAAATGAGGCCAACTGGAGGTCCACAGGGAAGGCCAGCAAAGGTCTTGGGTCTTCTCCAGGGGCCAGTAGAGCCAGGCTCCCCCTGCTCCCTCCGACTCCGGGCAGTTGGCCTGGCAGCTTGGGGATGGGCATCTGTCTCTATGGTACAGGGGCCGGCAGTTCCTGACTAGTTAGGCTCCAGACTCGTTGATGAGTCAAGAGAAGCTGTTCTGTTCCTGTCCCGATCCAGTCACAGAAATGGGTGTTTGCTTCCTCATCCGCAGAGAGGAACACCATCTAACTTCTCTTTCCTGAGGAGGAAGGTCTCAGGTTAGGAGAATTGAGCAAGAGATCGAGAGACCTTCCAGAACGCAGCGGGATCCCAGGCCTCACCTTCTGTTCCCCACCTCGATCCCTAGTCAATCCGATTCCTCTTTGATCTTTAGTGACCGGGTGGGATTCAGAGGAAGCCAGAAGGTGCCACCCCCACAGCTAGAACCCAACCACCGACTCTTGTGCGGGAGAGAGTAAAAGGTAAAAGGAGGCCAAACACCATGTTTATCAAGCCACGTCCGTTTAAATTAAACTTCCTTTAATGAAATCCACAACAAAACAGCAGATGGTGCATTGCATAATATTTGTGGTCACAGTAGGAAACGATACAATTTGTTCAGATAACATCGGACCGGGACCAAAGCACACGAGACCCCCTCCTGGTCTCTGTGAAACCCCGCAGACCCGTGGGCGCCACTCTGAAGACATGGGAAGCGGGCTGGAGGTCTCCCTCTCCTCGTGCACCACACGCACCCTTCGCCACTGAGAAGTCAGCAGAACGGTGGAGGCGCACTCGCTTCTGCACAGCCCGTTCCTGTCCTTCTCTGCTGTCATCGGTGAAGCTTTTAAACAACAACAACAACAACAACAAACAGTTTTCTCAACATAGCCAGTTGTGGAGTATTGCTTTATGATTCTTGCCACCAAAGGCTCCGTCTTTGGCTCACAGATGTCTGGGGCAGAAATCATGGCTGCAGGCTGCCTGCAAACGGAAGGAGGAAGAGCCACCAGGAGGAGCAGACAGGGGTCTGGGCCGCAGGGACCCTCCTTCACCAAGACCGCAGGCAAAGCCACGTGGGAGGGAGGGAGGGAGGAAAGCACAGATTGAAACACGTTTCTAAATGAAGTGGTAATCCAGTGGGTGAGGCAGGAGTCCCACACCATCCTGTGAAAAAATCTGAAAAAGTGTTTAAAAAAAAAAAAAGGCAGCATATTTGCATCTTTCATTTGTTTTTTATTTTTTAGAAAAGTGTATGTAAACATCATAAAGTAAACAATCGAAAGTAACTTGGAGACTTCTATTTGAACAAAGCGTAGGCTCTCTCCTGGGGCTACCTTTATGAACGGGAAAAACCAAACCAAACCAAAGCAAACCGAAACGTAACATTTCCGTTTCTTTACGCTAAGAAGTGCAATTTCACCCAGGGGGGGTCATGGCTGGGCCCTTCTTTCATTCGCCCTGGCGCTTCTGGCACGAACATCTTCCAGAAGGGCACTTTGTGGGGAGCCCTATTTGGTACAAGAAAGTGTATCTCACACTATAAAATGTGGACCCATATTCCAGGCAAGATGATTTCTCTGTAAAGAACCCGACCTGGGACATCTCCCTTCCCTCCAGGTGGCCTGGCAATCGGCTCGGCCCGATGGGCCTACAGTGGTGGTGGTGGAGGTGGCGGAATTGCCCTAATTCCAGCTTGGAACAGCGACCTCCGTTTGAAGCAGCGGTTCTCAACCTTCCTCATGCTGCGGCCCTTTAACACAGTTCCTCATGTTGTGGTGACCCCGCCCCCAACCATAACATTAATTTCTTTGCTACTTCATAAATGTAATTTTGCTACTGTTATGAATCGGGCGACACCTGTGAAAGGGTCGTGACCCACAGGTTGAGAACCGCTGGTTTAAAGGCAGAGGACACTGTGGGCATGGCATATACACTGCCACCAAATGCCCTGCATTACCCAGTCCTTCGTTTTCCCTGCAGCCACCTGGTCCCATCCAAAGCCAAGTACCCCTTTCTCCTCCTACGAAGGGCCGGCATACCCCAACAGCCCCGAACTTTCTTTCAATAGGATGCACTGGCTGTTAAGGAAGACAGTGCCTGTTTATATGTGTTCACACTTTAACTATCATTTGTGCAATCGTCTGCAACCCGCCTCCTCTTGAAATAGCATAGTTGGGAAATGACATGTGGAAAATATCAAGATCCACTGCCACTCGGACCTCCTCCTCCTCCTCCTCCTCTTTCATCCTCTGCTGAGGCTCACCGCTGCCCATCTCCCCTGCATTAGATGCTGGGCCAGGGCTTCTGCTGTCAACAGATGCTCTAAGGTCCACCACCTGGGCGGTTGCCACGGTGGGCGACACCGAGAGAGGGAATTAGGTGGCAATCTGCCTGGGGAGGTGCAGGGTGCTCAGTGCAGAACTGACCTGGGCGGCAGCCAAGGGAGCAGAGCATAGGGCAAGGCAGGAGGAGCCAGGCTCATCCGGCCAATGTGCCTAAGAGCCACTTAGGAATGGCCATCACTTTACATTACTTTATTGCTCAAAACAAACAAACCTCCTTCCTTTTTGGAAGACAGTGCTGTTAGATCCTCTGCAGCCGGGATCAAAGCACAGAGGGCAGAAATGTAGGGTGAGCGTCACCTGCCAGTCTTAGCAAACCTCAAGATGATGCTTTCCCCCAAAGGCCAATTCTCGGCAGGGAACCACAGGCTTCCAGGGCCTTCACAGCGGAGCCAGCCGGGCCCTCCGAGAGCTCCTCAGCCCACCGCCCCACTTCCAAAGGGCGCAGCCGGGAAGAAGGGGTGACTCTCAAGTCGGCTGGATAGGCTGCGACCATAAATTGCTAGGTTTCATTCATGTTCCTAATAGGAAAGCAAACATACCACAAAATACACCCTTTCTCACCAACCCCCTGCGGGGCATCTTTAAAAAGGCTTGAAGGACGGAAAAGGTCATAGGAAACGATGCCTGCTTCTTCTGTGCAATTTCTGATTCCTTGAAGTCAGTCAGTCTTGCAAGCAGCACTTTTTCTTCATGTTAAGGAGACCCCGCAGCGCAGGAAGGACGCGGGGTGCTCCTGGGAGTCTCGGGGCGCTATGTCTTTGCCTCCCAGGAGAGGTGGAAGGAGGTGGCTTCTCGGTCTGACATGCCCCCATTACCACTGCCCCCTCTCCCAGCGCCCCCAAGGACATCTCACTTCTACCGAGGCCTCTCCAGGGACTCCTGGGGTCCCCTGAGGCACAGGAGGCTCCGAACTATCGGAATGAATCCCGGCTCCTTTCCTCGTCCCCAACCTCGTCCTCCCTGCCCTGGACAGAGCTGGCTGTGCATTCTTCGAATTCATTCTTAAGGCTAAGGTGGCAAGATAAGGTGCTCGGTGGAGAGCCAGAGTCTAGATCCCGGGGTGCCAGTTCAGCAATTCTCACCTAACACAAAATACCACAGGGCGGGAAGGGGTCAGAGGCGCAGGGTCAATGCATGTGGGCTCAATAAGACGTTACAGACCACGCGTTTCGGTTTAAAATACCATCTCGACCCCTGAAAATAGGGGCGGGCCGGGTAGTCCAAGCCCCAAGCCAGCTTTCAACACGGGGCTGGGTGGTCTCTCCGCCCACCCCGAGGAGGTGAGGGACGCACCCAGCAGCTTCCGGGTCACCCCCAGCCTCACTCCCGACAGCCTTCGGGCGGCCATCACCCCCTTCCTCACCGCCACTCCTCACGACACAAAGGTAGACACACGCAGAAGTCAGAGGATCTATAAACCAGGAGGAGGGGAGAATTAGATGAAGGTTAACCATTAAAAAGCCGCAGCTGGAACACACACACACACACACACACTCTCTCTCTCTCTCTCTCTCTCGATTGTGATCTACGAAAGTGCCGTGGGGGGAGGAGCTGTGTGCTGGTAAACATGTCCGCTCCGGACTTGCCATGCAGAGGAGAGGGAGCGCCGAGCCCCACCTGAGATTCGAGAGGACGGGTTCTGAATGTCAAGGTCACGGCACTGCGCTTCACAACGTCGCTGCCCTCTTCTGCCCGAGGGTCCGAGGATGCCCGCCTGCCCGCCCCTCGGCCGCTCCTGTCTGCGGCCGCCTAGTCCATCTCCATGGACATGAGGCGCCGCCGCTCCCGTCTCGTCTCCCGGACCTCCTTCTTACAGCACCAGTGCGAGCTGCAGTAGCCGATGAGGCAGGACAGGAGGCCGATGATGGTGGACAGGCCCACGCCGATCAGCAGGGGGTACTTGAAGGCGTTCAACACTGCCAGGGAGGGAGAGAGGGCAGGGGGAAGCCAGGTCAGTGGGGAGGCGTGCCTTTAGGCTGGAGACCACCCCTCCACCCCCCTGTGGGATGGCACCCACCCCCTCCCCCACTGGGTGGCATCCACCCAGCTGAGGGGTCTAGCTGGGTGACTGAGATGGGAGCAGCTCGTCCTTGTAGCCTTGCTACAAAAATGAGCAAAGGCTCACCTACCCAGTTCCTCGGGGTGGGGGGGGGGGCAGGGGTTGGGGGGGCAGGGAAAAAAGATAGGACTTGATGCGTTTGAATGTCAACTTGCTTTTTAGGGTTTTGGCAGGAGATTGATTTCTAAAAGTCGGGATAAGGGCACCACATATTCAGCAGCAGATGCATCCTTACAAACACTGTGCAGAAATCAATTACAGGCATCAGATCGCTGAAGTGCACTCAGGGAGCTATTTTCAGTAACACTACAGTGAATGAGAGAGGCTCTGGTGGTGCAGAGCGTCAAGCTTCTGGCTGCCAACAGAAAGCCCCGCAGTTGGGACCGTCCTGGGGCAGCTCTGCTCTGTCCTTCAGGGAGGGCCACCGTGCGGTGGAATCCACATGGTGGCACGGGGCTTGGCTGGGCCGTCACTCGTCTCACCGGGTGAGTAGTGGCCCCTGACTGGTCTGGTAGACCAAGGTTTTCATATGGAGTACCTCCCAGGAAGGAGTTTCCAAGATGCCACTATGGGGCAAATGACAGTCTGGGAAATCCACCAACACCATTTAGATTCCACAAGCCCCAAACCCCATTCCACATCCTCCACAACCGTCCATGACCTTGGGTGGAAGTCGGAAATTGCTCAAGGTAGTTACACTCACTGTGGCTTAATTTCCACAGGAGTCCCATGAGTGAGTGTTATCCCTGTCTCACACGAGAGGAGACCAAGACGTGGGAAGACTCAGAGAGCCACGGAACTGGGGTTCCCATTCCGGTCTCGCCACGCCCCCCTCAACGAGATGGAACCAAACTCGGGAGGCTTTTCCGAATCCTTGGAGACATCTGGGGTGTTTATTCTCTCCATGGGGTTATGCCCGTTACTTTCTGAAGCTTTCTGCACAGAGGTGGTGGTTCTCCTTAACCAAGGGAGGACCCCGCCCACCCCCCCACCCCATCAGGAAGCAGCAGGCTGGAAGAAGACCGTCAGGCCGCACACACACACACACACACACACACACACACACACTGGTCAGGAAGCAGAGGGCTGGAAGAAGACCGTTAGGTCGCGCGCATACACACACACACATACACACACACACACACACCCCATCTGGAAAAAGACCATCAGACCGCGTGTGCGCGCGTATGTGTACACACACACACACACACACACACCCCGCGATCAGGAAGCAGCGGCCTGGAAGAAGACTGTCAGACCATGGGGCTAAACTGATTCCAGTGGATTGACTGGGCGGGGCCAAACAACAGGGGGCTAAGAGCACTGGGGAGTCATGCTGCAGCCTTACCTGAAGACATGAACCCTCCCCCTCACCTTTGCTCTCTACTGCTTCTGGCCAAAGCCGCGCCAAGCCTAGGGTATGGGGAAATGTGCCCGCAGAGAATTTATGGAAGGGCAAAGTGTCCACTGTGTGGCAAGCCTTTCCCAGGGGTGGCACCTGAACAGGATGCCAGTGCTGGGAGAACAGCTTGAGCTGCTCGTGGCCTTCCTGGGTACAGGCCCAGGGACCGCTCTGGAGAGCAAGCAGGCCACGTGGCGGCATATTTCCCACCCTGGGAAACCTGGATTCTATTAGTGGCGCCGTAGCATGGAGCAAAGACACGCTGCCGACACTGAGAGAAATGTTCCTGCATCATCCTTACCGTCCATCTTCACAGTTATAAAGACGGGCTTGGAATGGAGCTCTGCCTCCTTCTGCCAGGAACCTGTTGACGACCTCACCCAGGGAGTCACGGAGCAGTAGTAGTTGCCAAAGTCCTGCTCCTCGGAGCCGTGCACTTGCAGCAAGAATTCCAGCACACCCACCCGCTCCAGGCTGAGGTCACTCTTCCAATCCTGCTGGGCGGTGTTCACAATGCCCTTCCGGTCCAGGGAAGCCAGGAAGACGGGGGCCTTGTCCAGGCCGAAGGAGTGCACCGCGAACCAGGACACATCAAAGGCCATGTCATCTATGAATGACCAAACACAAAATCTCAAGGTCAGGTCACTGGGCAGACAAATGAGCAGCTAACGTGTATACAAGGGGGCTTCCCAAAAGCCGCGGGGGG